TTTGTTTAGAACTACGGTACTTTATTAGATATCTAACGTATATAACAATATAATAATAAAATTTTATATACGGCAATGACTGGACAACGTATTAGTACGATTTAAATTGTTGTGTCGGTCGAAAAGTGTATTATATGTAAATTAAAAAAAATGTATTTTAAATTGAATTAAAACAAAATATTAATAATAATAAAATATATATGTTTAATGAATTATAATAATTTTTTGTGCATATTTTTGTGTTTTTATTAGCTTAAAATGTATATTAAATTATAATGTTTAACGCATATTTTGTAATTTTTTAGAATTTTAGAATAATGTTTAATTTATACACACACATAACGATAAATTAAATAACTATAATACGTACAAGTTAATGACGTAATTTTCTTTCTTTTACTTCTATATAATATAATTTATTGTATTGATTTCTATTTGTACAAAATATGTATGGTTTTGTATTACCTATCTATAATATATTTTTAGTAGGTATATTGAATGTATTATTCACTACTTGGTACGTGTTTCTCTTATTATATTATATAATTGACAAATAAAAATAATCATGTATAAAGGGGTGGGAACCGTCCGTACTGCAATAGGAATTAGAAATGCCGATTATTGTTAGCAATTTTGCTTAGAACATTACAAGTACAAGACTTGATGTACTTTTTTACTTTATTATTCTGATGCAAGTTAACCACATTAGTTTAATATTTAAGTAATATAATATATATTATAATATGTCAATAATTATAATTTGAGTGTAACTATTTCTATACACACAATTTTTTTACTAAACGGTGTATTAAAATATGTACTTAATACTTATATCTTATTTTATCGTAGATATGATATTATGATTTAATTAATGAAGACAACGAAATTATGCAATGTCAACAGTTAATGGTCGTTTTTCAATCCATGATTTAATTTTTGGTATTGCCAATACCTTTTCCCGGAGAGCTTGTAAATTAGGACGATCTTTCAACAAGTCAATATTTGATCTGAATTTCAGGTAGTCTAAAATACCCACAAAGAATAAATCGGCCCAAGATAACTGAAAAAAAAAAATAAACATTGTGATAAGTATAGTACTGTTAATTCTTGACCACCATTAATTAAAATATATTATTTTATTGTTATTAATTGAATTCATTACTTATATAAAGCATCTACCAACCTA